AACATAACTCCCTCCAACTAAGCAAAATTTAACAAGAAAAGAGTGATTTCTGTACACCTTTTTCTTTTAGGAAAACTAACGAAAAGTTAAAAAAAAAAAAAAATTTAATGAAAAATGACAAATAAATGTGTAGTGAATAGTATAAAAAAAAGGTAAAAATGTAGTTGTTCGTTAAAAATGAACAATACTGGAATGATTCGTTAAAACCCACTTTTCTTTTTCTCTACAAGCCCATATATAGCCCATAACTGTATAACGACCCATATCCAAATCAAGCGCCGATAGCCCATCCCAAAACTTCCAACGCAATCTAACTTGCTCAAAACGCTACAATTTCAAACACAAAACGCTTACCGCTCGATTGATCCTCTTCTTAAAGCTTCCAACGTAACCTTCTTCTTCTCCAAAACGCTTAAATAAATACAAACCAACGCACTCCCACAGCCTCTGTCACTCAAAATCTCACTTCTCACTTTTTCTCCCACTGAGTGAGAACAACCGACTCCGTTCCGCTGACTCACTGAGTCGCTCACTCGGAATCGAAAGCTCTCGGCTTTCGGCTTTCCCGCCAAATTCCTGCGCTGCATTCCCACCGACGCTTACTCAGACGAGGTCAGTGATCTTTCTTGTTTCTGTTGTTTTTACAATTCGTGGAATTGAATCGGTGCTCTGTTTGGTTGGTGAGAAAATGCGGGAAAATTACGAGAAATGTTGTAGATTTCATACCCACTGTTAGTACTGAATTTGTGGAAATTGTGAAATCAATTTGGTGCTTTCGATTTTCCTTCAGTTATTTGTTTTTCTCAGGAACCAAACAGAATGTTCAATTGTATCGGATAATCAAAATTCCCACTTTACCTGATTTAGTGCTTGCTTTCTGCTTGCACTATGTTGAGTTTTCTCAGGAAAATTGATTTTTTCGAGAGATTATGACGAAAATCAATGGGGAGCATCCAGAGGATGCCGGTGTCGGTTCACACGAGAAAATGGGATTCCTTTTTCAAGCATTATATGAAGCTGAATATTGTTCAGATTCCCCTTTTCCGAAGCCAAGCTCGATTCACTGGTATATGGTTTCACATTTCATTTCAATTAACGTTTTTATTTGAAGGGGGAATATGTATGATAGATAGTACATGATTCATCATATTGGAAAATTAGGGTCCATTACTTGGCTACGCATTATCGCAATTGAGTTCATTTTTTCTCTGGTACTCAAATTTTTCGGTCTGTGGTTTGACATTGCTCAATTTGCTGTATTAGGAGAACCACTGTTCCAACAAGACGGTCAGCGAAAAGCTGGACAGCGGAAGAGGTCAGTGATAGATATCTTAGTTTGCTAATTGATAGTAATTGTATGGTGGCTTAGTCTCAGTGCAGGTTTTCTTTATGTATCTTCTGCTAGAATTCGCAGCTTCTCAAAAGCTTATCTCTTCATTAATCAGTTGAACCTTGGTTGACAGGATAATCTTCTAGGAGAGTTAGTCACAAAGTTCAACAGGAGCAGTTGGAAGAAAATAGGTGGGCATGCCAATTTCTCCTGTTTGCTTTCCAAAATCAGCTTTTAGTTTCGTGTGTGTTGATAACAAATGTGGTAATTAGTATAACTTTATGTCTGCACATGAATGTTTTGAGAGCTTAGGCATGGGATTCGTACTGATATAGGCTTCGGAGCATTGGTGGTGATGGATTCTAGACTTGTTTGTGTACCTTGCATTGTTAGAATTTAAACATCACTTTCCATTTGATGGTTAATTATAGAGGCAGGTTCTTTGTTTGTTCATGAAGATTATTTTCTTATTTCTGCAGCTGCATGTCTCCCCGGGCGTACAGATATTCAGTGCCTGCAACGCTGGAAAAAGGTTTTAAATCCAGAAGTCGTCAAGGGAGCCTGGACAAAGGAGGTGCAAAAAGTTGTTCTTGCATGATTTTTTATCAATACAGAACAATGTTTTGCTGCAGGGTAAACTGATATGTGACTGGTCCTTTCCCTTTTCTTATTTTTCTTTTTCTTTGGATTTCAGGAAGATGATTGCATTATCAAGCAAGTCGAAAAACATGGTGCCAAAAGATGGTCTGTTATAGCTAAGTTCCTACCAGGTCGAATAGGCAAACAATGCCGAGAAAGGTACATGACCATGATTTTTATTCGGTGTGTCAAACTTTTGGCATCAAATGGTTGACATCCTCTGTCTTCTGTAATTGTTAGCTTTCAATTATACTGTAACCTCTTCCCCTTTAGTGTAGATAATATCGTTTGTTTAAAAAATCAAAAAAATTGTACTTTAACCGTTCAGCTTTGCACTTGGTGGTTTACAGAATAATAAAGATGATAACTATTTTCAGGTGGCACAATCACTTATGCCCGGCAATTAATAGAGATGCATGGACAAAAGACGAGGAGCAGATTATTGCTTACTACCATCAGTTGTACGGTAACAAGTGGGCAGAAATAGCAAGATTTCTACCCGGGAGGTATGCAATTGATAGTTGATAGAATTGAAGTTTTGTTCTTGATTTCTTATATATATTTAGTTAAACTATGGCTGGTTTGGAACATGAATATATCTGTGGTTTTTCGCCTGTCAGTTATGGTGTATGATGTAAATGGGGGAAAGTCTGGATTGCTCATCTCTTTGATGGCGATTATTATACGACAAACTAGATTTGCGTCTTCTACTTCATTAATTGTTCAAATTCAGATTTCTGATATGCATGTGTACTTTTTTGCTGCTGAAACAAAGCTCAGGAAAATACGCTATACAATGTTTATAGATATTGGTTCCTTCTGTTGAATGCTTCTCATATCCATTGAAATTGGCAGGACCGACAATGCAATTAAAAATTTCTGGAATTGCACGTTGAAGAGGAAATTCGATTCATACTCACCTAATGGATGTGAAGTGGATATGCAATCTGATGTCTCAAGTGGTGAGGTAAGAACAGATCGTCTTGAGGTTGAAGAAGATGGACAGATTTCTGACAGTGTGGTCTCACTCAATCAGCTAACGGAAACGGAGATTAGTGACAATGCTTGTTCTACTGAGTTGACTCTTGGATTTTCTTACAGTCATGACATTTGTTCAGAATGGAAATCTGTCAAAGTGCAGAAGCGCAGGTCTACGGAGAGACGAGCAAGCAGTTTAATAAATCCACAAATTGCCACTCCATTTGCTTTCATGGACGCATCCCCTTGTACCAAATCGAACTGCATTCCTCCTACTAGGCCACCTTGCTATTCGACTCCCCGAAGCCTTGCGCAGAACACCTCTGTTAGCAGTGGCAGTCCGGGGTCTAGATTGAAGAACTTAGCATTGAGTTTCAAAAACACTCCTTCCATCATAAGAAAGAAAAGCTCCAGAAGGAGTGATCCTAATAACTTCCCTGATGTCAACAGCTCAAAGGCATGCTCCACGTTGAGTAGTACTAGTGAAGGAGGAGGTACCAACAGCAGAGACTTTGCAAACGGGAAGTTTGGTTCATTTTCTTTCCGTCATAGGCCGCAAAATTCAGCTGCTGTTAAATCTCTAGGACGGCGCCTAGAACACGAATTCGATGCCGAAAAGGATTCGGGTAGTGATCAATGTGGCCATGCATTCTCTGCATATGCGTCTCCAGATGTCGGTTTTGGTGCATAACCTGTTTTCTATTCTATTCATATGTAAAGGGAATTGGTCAAAGTGTAGTCATTGCAGACCTTTTAACAGGTTATCTGCAATTTCCATTGCCCAAAATGAAGGAATCAAATCCTTTTCTTTCACCTTATCTTGGATCTTAATAATTCTCATCACATTGAAGCTGTAGCGTTTTTGCAAATTAATAGGCTCTTGTAAATCTTTCATTAGACCACAAGGTGGAGTCTGGGAGGATTCTCTCACCTTCAAATTTCTCTCATGTCCAGTCTTTCTCTATTTAAATGATCACGATTAAACCACGCCAAAAATGAAAATTAATGAATCCAACTCACTGTGGTCCTAATAATGAAAAAACTTCGACTTACAGCGTTTGAACCATGATAGGAAATGGATTCAATAAAACAAGCAAAACATAAATAGAATTTCTAAAAGGGAATTGTTATTGGTACTTCAAAAATCTTATTTTACACTCCAAATTTTCTATATTTGGAAAGAAAAATATACTTGTGAATGGTGTAGAATGAGATGTTTGGAACACCAATAACACTTCCCCTTCTAAAATAGTAAAACTAAAACAAGGGGCTCAAATATGTGACTCGCCCTAGACAATATTTCAGGATGTGCAAAACCTCATTGGACAACTATTATGTTGTAATCCTCACCCATTATTATCTTCTGAGCAGTAACAAGGGATCAATTGAGATCAATTAATAAAATTGGACATACATAATTAAATAAATATTTAATTTTTTTTATATAGTATATATATATATATATGCAAGATAAATTAGGGTTACAAAATATTTATTGTGATAATAAAGCGATTTCAGTTAAGTCTTCAAAATCCGATCCCAACTATTATTTAGTTATTTAGAATTATCCTCATCCAATTGGAAAATATTTAATCATTTAGGATTATCATCATCCAATTCGAAAGGATTAAATATTATTTAATTATTTAGAATTATCCTCATCCAATTCGAAAATATTTAATCATTTAGGATTATCATCATCCAATTCGAACAGATTAAGATACCGATATCGTATTGGACAAGTCAAGCACGTCAATTATTTTATTCGTTACAATCTCCACAAAAAAATCGCTTTCAAAACAAAAAATAAAACAAAAATAGAAAATAAAAAATAAAAACCTCAACAAAAAGAAAATTACGGAACCGAACGTCAAATAGGGACCCGCACGAGTTGACGAAGTCCGACGCGTCCACCGCAATCCGGTCGCTCAGTCTCCCTAGTCCCCAATAGAAAGAGACCCTGTAGGCCACGCTCTCCACTGCGCGTGCAACGTCCAATGACTCGCCTTAACAGAAAAGGGAAAATCGCGCCAAAGGTAACAAAGAAACAAACTTCCCTCTACTGCTGAAGAACTTCCCCTTTCGGTTTTTCTGCAAATCATCGAAATCCGCGATTTCAATTATTTGATGCTTATCCGGATTTATCCTAATCCCCAAACAGCCGAATTCTCTTTTTTACTATAAATAATTCAAATTCTCCACCCAGCAATCCAATTCGATTCGCACTTCACTATCTTATCCGGGTTCCCAAACAACCTCCTTGATTCGCTCTCAATCCGTTCCCATTTTTCAACTCTCTTTCTCTTTGCTTTCTTTCTCTGAGCCGCAGAAAGCAGAAGCAGCATGGGGTCTATGGAGCAGACAATTCTGGTGACCGGCGGCGCGGGGTTCATAGGGAGCCACACGGTGATTCAGCTGCTCGAGGCGGGGTTTAGGGTTTCCGTCATTGATAATCTCGATAACTCCGTTGCTGAAGCTGTTGATCGCGTCAGGGACTTGGTCGGCCCCAAGCTCTCTCAGAAACTCCACTTTCAGCTGGTAATTCTAGCATTGGATTACTCTGTTTGGTTGCCGAGAAAATTAGGGAAATGAAACGGAAAATAATTTTGAACTTCTTTGCTCTTCTGTTCTTGTTAGTGTGTTAGTGTCGGTTGGATGACGAGATCTCTTTTATGCTTAGTAGACTAGCGGCTTTAGCTTCGCATCGCTCTGTTTGGTTCCCAAGAAAATTAGGGAAATCAGGACTGGAGAAAGAAAATTTTGACTTGTTAATTCTCTTTTTCTGATTTAGTCAACTATCTAGGTTCGGTTGGATTATGACTGATCACTTTAGATATTTAAATGACAGAGCTAGAGAAATATCCGCTTTTCTATTAGTTTTCTGTGAACTTTTTGCCCTGTTTGGTTCCTGAGAAAGCCTGTGAAACTGATTTCTTGGTTTCTTGATCCTTCCAATTAATTAATAAATATTGGCAATAAAATTCCTCTGTTTTTGTATTTTATTAAATTCCAACGGTTTCTTAGAAGGCCAAAACTGCGTTTTGTGTTTTGGCTTTGGTGTTATTCTCACTAATCAAATTGGTAATATCTGTGTGCAGGGCGATCTCAGAAATAAGGACGATTTGGAGAAGCTGTTTTCTCAAACTAAGTCAGTAATTTTTTTTATTAGCATCTAAGTATGTCATTATAATGTTTAGGTATTGACATTTCTGCTGGATAACGTGACAGGTTTGATGCTGTAATCCACTTTGCTGGCCTAAAAGCTGTAGGAGAAAGCGTTGCACACCCGCACCGTTATTATGATAACAATTTGGTTGGAACTATTAATCTTTACGCGGTCATGGCGAAATACAATTGTAAAAAGGTTTGCTTCTGTTTTCTCAGTTCTGCAGTGGAGCCTCAAATTAGGTTGCGATATTTTGTTTCCCGTATGTTAGGATCAGTGTATAACCAACCACAAGAAGTGCATGGTTTACTAACCGAATGAATATGATGTTTTCTGAGTGTAGATGGTTTTTTCATCATCTGCAACTGTGTATGGGCAACCTGAAAAAATTCCATGTGTTGAGGATTTCAACCTTGTAGCTTTGAATCCATATGGCCGTACCAAGGTATACACCATGTCTTTCTCCCGCAATCGTTGAATTCTCGTTTTGGGTTAAAACTGGGATAAAAGGGATGCATCCTTTGTCTTCTCTAACATCAAATTTACTCTTACTAGCTTTTCCTTGAAGAAATTGCTCGAGATATGCAAAATGCAGACCCAGATTGGCAAATTATTCTGCTGAGGTACTTCAATCCTGTCGGGGCTCATGAGAGTGGGAAAATTGGTGAAGATCCCAAAGGCATCCCAAACAACCTAATGCCGTACATACAGCAAGTAGCTGTTGGAAGATTGCCTGAGCTTAATGTCTATGGTCATGATTATCCCACCAAGGATGGTACTGCGGTATGTAAAATCCATTAAGATTTTCTTTTGTTTAAGACAATTGGGCAAGAGTGGTAAGAATTCACTTAGTTGTTTATTGACCTCCATCTACTACGAGTCCTCTGTTGAATCTAGTTAGCTTGGTCTGCATATGTTCCACTCATAGCATCGTCTTTAATCATGCCACTGATACTCAAATTTCTTGTTCACCAAATGTAATCAGGTAAATCCTAATTACCAGTTTCATTTTACTTTTCATTTTTTAACAGATCCGAGACTACATCCATGTTATGGACTTAGCAGATGGTCATATTGCTGCTCTTCAGAAGCTTTTTACTACAGAGAATATAGGTGATTGATCTAATTTGGACATTGATTTATACGAAATATATTTGCTGTCCCCTGCTGGTCATTTTTCATCAGCATCTATATATAGAGTTGCCAAGTTTCTAAATCACCCTATCGTGTAAGTTTCTTTGGAATTGGGGTGTTTTAAAGAGAATTTCATGTCTTAGGTTGTGCTGCCTACAATCTGGGAACCGGACAAGGTACATCGGTGCTTGAAATGGTTGCTGGCTTCGAGAAGGCTTCTGGCAAGGTGATTGTTCGTCTCCTTCAAGTCTCTCTCCTCTCGCTCGCGCACACACATTAAATTTGCGATACTGAAGTAGTTCTTGATTGTATGTGCCAGAAAATTCCTATCAAACTATGTCCCAGGAGGCCAGGTGATGCTACTGCTGTTTATGCTTCAACAGAGAAAGCTGAAAGGGAACTCGGGTGGAAGTATGTACTTTACAATCGATTCGTTTATGCACTGCAAAGCAATACACAAGATTAACACGTATTCTTCAAGATTTTATGTTGCCCGTACGATGCATCCCATTTGTATACATATAACTCGTATTAAACTAGGTTTACTATCTATTATTGTGGAACTGCATAATTCTCTCCGCTAATCTGATGTCGGTTTCAGGGCAAAATACGGAATAGAGGAGATGTGCAGGGACCAATGGAAGTGGGCAGTAAACAATCCGCACGGTTACAAGTCGAAGTATTGAAGGCGTTGGCATGTATATACGCGCGGCAGCACGCCGAAGTTCAGTCCGAAATTGGACGGAAGAAGATCCTGCCGTTTGATATGAATAATTTCCACACACTGCCTAAAAGAAGTGTAGTTGGGAAACATCAACATATGTTGCTAAATCAATGTGTTCTTCCTTGTTTTTCTTTTTATTAGAGAGAAAAAAAAAAGGTAGTGGGAATAAATTCCTCTGGCAAAATATAGATATTATTATAAACATCGAAAAAGAAAAGGTTTAAATGGTAGGATTGTGATGGGTCAAAATGTCCTAGGAGAATTGGAGAAACGTACGGGTTTGGTAAAGTTTGGACAATTATTAAACGTTAGACTGAAGACCTTTATGTTTTTGTCATGGATTGAACACGTATTTTGTGTTGCAGAATTACGATAGGTCAAAAATTCGATCATTTTAATTAAAAAATGTAGTTATGATTTGGAGTCGTCGTCATTCGAGAAAATCACTAGCGTAGACAAATGGAATGGAGATTAGTATTGTGCAGCGAGGTTGACATACGATTGAAGAACATACTCATCATAAAAGTAGAGAAAAGTGCTAATTAGTTTCTGAACTATCACCCAATGAAAATTCGATCCTTAAATTATTTTTCAGTAAAATAAGTTCTTAAATTCATTAAAAATTGCTAATTTCATTCCTATAGTTATATTCAAAGCTATTTTATCTAATTTTTTTGTCAACTCACTTGACACACTTTAGATAGTAATACTATCATTTTCTTGTCTATAAGCTCTTAACATTTCATATAAGTTGCGAATTTAACTTTTAATTACCCTCTAAAGTTAACTCTGTATATTATTTCGTTATAATAAAATTACTCATCTACCCTCCAATGTGTATGTGTATCACATGCAAATAACATAACTTAAATGGACGGAAAATTGAATATAATAGTTTCGAATCTAATATTAGGAATGTAATTGACATATTTTTATAATTCAATGACTAATTTTTCTAAGACAAAAAAAAAGTTTAAGAATTTAATTTTCACTCAAGTAATCATTCATGGACTAAATTGGCAATTCACCGTAAAAGTAGATGTGTTTTGCTCGCGCAATAGTGACTTTTGAGTTTTTTTGTCTCAGTCTCAATAGTTGAATGTCTTTTTTTTTCTTTTCTTATTCTGAACAAACGATATTATCTACCCAAAGGAATGTGGGAGTGGGCTAGCTTCACAATGAACAAGTTATAATAATGAAGTTTAAATTCGTCTTTGGCGAGAATCGAACCTAAGACCTTTCACTTACAAGTTAAGAAAAATATTATTAGACCGTAGTACTAAGTAGCTGGAATGCCGTTTTAATATGAAGAAAATATAAAACAAAAAGTTGCAGAATAATTCCATGTTTAATCGGAGGGACCTCTGGCCTCTTAATCAGTGGCTAATATAATTTAAGTGGAGGTTGAATGTGAATTAGATGTTGTAGGGACCCAGAAAACATCATAAAAAAAATTAAAAATAAAATTTAAGAAATAAGGATGAATTTAGAGGTGGCTACGTGTTACACTGTCTGTCCATTCTTCTTAAACAAGTATGATTAATTAGGATTAAGGATCCCGTCTCTTGCGTCCTCTGCTATTCCAAGCAATACGTAGAGGTAGCGATAAGATTGAGTTTTAGGGATAAAATTGAACAGACGGGAATAGGTTACATAATCTATGTGTGTGGTTGGGCCACATAATCCATTATAGTTTCTTTATTTCATATTTGTAGCTTATTTATTATGTGTTAAATTTTTCTCACCAAATATTGACTGGGTTACAAATCCAATTTAATTGGAAATCACGCATCTCATCCTGCCCTTAAGAGTATAGGCCTCATACTTTATATATTTCCAATCTTTTTTTATGATATTTGACCTGTTAGGAAGAATTGTCATCGTGCAATCATGTAACACAATTGGTCCACCTGTTATATCACAGGTGGATGACAATTTTATGCTTTAGAATATAGTACTAATAACAAATTCATGTGTGTATGATTATGAATAGATTAATTATATTACATGAACATATTTCACTAAACAAACAATAATTTTTATCTTCTTATTTATAGGGACATTTTTATTTGGGCATCTATGTTTGGTAGTGAGTAGTCTCTAATAATTATTGTGTTTTCAAATGCTCACCTAATAAAACCCATAAAAATTGATTTTAGGTGTTTTTTTTTTGTTTCTTTTTTTTGGGAAATTAGGCTGTAAGTTTTATTAACAACAATACACAGTTACAAGAGAGGCCACATACAACACAAACACAACAACAAAAGTATGGACCAAAGTACAATAAAATGAAGCCCAATAGAAAACAGAAAAAAAAAAAAAAAAAAAAAAACCGAACAACTTGCATCCTCTGCCACAGCTTCTTCCACCTCTACCACTACTGCCATCCGAAAGACCTCCAGAGTTGAACCAGTTGCTAGAAAGCAAGCCAAATCGAGCCCTCAAAGTGGCTAAAAAAGGCTTCAACAACCACCAAAGAGCACATCGAAGATCGGCACCAGAAATTGAAGGAAGCTTGCAGGAAACAACCCACAAGCAACTGAGGCAACAAGGCCAAGTCGAGGCAAGAAGGTGGTGAGAACACCCGAGCATCAAAAAAATCTGAAGCTCTACACATCTCCCTCCTAAACGGGAATCGCGAAGATTCGCGTTCATGGTGTGGATTAGTGGGAGTCAATCTAGAGGATGAGAGTATTGGAGGAGTGAGCCAAATGGAAAGGGTAGGGTGTGGAGTGATGAAAACAAAGTAGGTGGAGGGAAAAGGAAAGGAAGAAAGGGGAGTTGAGGAAGGGGAACCAGAAGCAGCAGTTGAGGAAAAAACTAGTAAGGACAAAAGGAAAGAAACGGAAAACAAGAGAAGCAAGGGGCTACCACCAACCCTAGTCATAGCCACTGTTCTAAAAATCTCAACCTAGCGCCGCCTAAGCCCCGTCTAGGCACTAGGCGGCTAGTCACCGCCCCGATTAACGTCTAGACGTTTGAAAATTAAGAAATGACGTATAAACCTGCTGAGGCGCCCACCTAGACCCACCTAGGTTGCAACTCACTTAGACAGAAAATAGATAACTTTCATTTTGAATTTTATTTTTTTCAATAAATTGTAAGAGATTTGTTGAATACTTAAATGAACACACATTATAGGCTTGTTCCCCATGTTTTCATTATGTTCCAACACTTCATAATATATATGTCATGCTTTCATTTTGAATTTTATTTTTTTCAATAAGTTATAAGAAACTTGTTGAATACTTAAATGAACACACATTAAAGGCTCGTTCCCCATGTTTTCATTACGTTTGAATACTTCATAATATGTATGTCATTTTATTGTGTAGTTTATGATGAAATTATATATATTTTAAGTATAAACAAACATTTATTTATATGAAATATAATAGATTTACTTAAATCTGCCTAGTACGCCTAGGCGCCCGCCTAGCCGCTTAGGCACTATGCCCCGCTTAGCCGCTTAATCACTATGCCCCAACTTGCCGTCCGATTAGCGCCTAGCGTTTTTTAGAATTTTAATCATAGCTAGGATCAATGTCAACGAGAAAGAGAACAGAAGTTGGAAATGCATTCACACGTAGACGTTGAGAAGAACTTTCACAAAGGAAAGAAGAACTCTCACGAATGAGAGAACGTGGTGTTTTAGTCTTATTTGATACCATGTCAAATCATTGAGTCCAATGACAACTTCTACATCTCTCTATTTTGGACTGGCTCTTTATTTTTATATTTTATATATATAACTACATACATATATTAAATGAATCATTTCCACCTATAATATTTGTCCACAAAGTCATTGTTCACTACCTTATAATAAGATCCTTTCCGAATTCTCTTGGTAGGTATTCAGATTATCGATCAATTGTGTTCATTTATCGTACATCATGCAATTAGAAATTATTTTTAATTTTTAATTTAAAATTGAATATATATAGTATCTACCCAAAATTGACCACACGATGTACGATGAACGGACATAATTGATTGATCCCCGAATCCTTACAAAGAGGATTTGAAGATGATCCTTGTCCTTGCAACAAAGCTTTGGAAAGGCACTGTGTAAAAAAAAAAAGTCAAACAAACAACGTAAGAATGTCTTACACTTCTTAGAATGATTAAGAATGTATATCAGACAGATTTGTAAAACGAAAGTTTCTAATCCAATTGTGTTGAACAAAATTATATGGAAATTTTTAGAATAAGAATGTGAGGTCACCCATCATAAAAAGCAAGGTTCTAAAATACGCTAGGCGTTAGTCAAGCAGCATGTTGAGGCCTAGCCCTAGGCGGACTAGGTGGATTTAAGTAAATCTATTATATTTCGTGTATATAAGTGTCTGCTTATGCTTACAATATATATAATTTCATCATAAACTACAAGTAGAATGATGAGATATTGGAACATAATGAAAAAATGGGGAACAAACATATAATGTGTGTTCATTTAAGTATACAACAAGTCTCTAATAATTTATTGTAAAAAATAAAATGCAAAATAAAAATTATCTATTTTCTGTCTCAGTGAGTCGCAACCTAGGCGGGTCTGGGTGGACTAGGCAGTTTAGGGGGGCGCGTCAGCAAGTCTAAACGCCCTTTCTTAATTTTCAAACGCCTGAACATTAATCGGGACGGTGACCAGCCGCCTAATGCTTAAACGGAAATTTTTAAAACATTGATAAAAAGCATCACAATTCCATAATTACAAACTCAGCAAAAAAATATGATATAAACCTATCTTTTGAAATCTATATTTTCTCTTTCAACCTTTTCAAATCTCTCTAATTCTTTTCTTTTTTTTTTTTGAGAACAATCTCTCTAATTCTTTCTCATATTTTTTATATATGTCTTTTCAACTCCTCTCTTTCAGCATATTATTATTTAAAAGATATTATCTTCATAGTTTAACTTTAAGTGACAATTAAATGCAAAAAAGATAATATCAATATACTTGATTTTTTAGGAGATTTGTTTTTTCTCTCCCTTTCACTTAATGAAAGAGAAACTTTTTAAAAGGGACAAGCACGTTGTGGTAAAGCAAACAATACCACATAGCAAAGTAATACACGTGAACTAAGAGAGCCCATACGGAAAAAATGCTTTTGAACTACACGCGAAAAGTAATTCTACACTCAGATGCGCATTAAATGAGGCAAATGTGATCTTAATAAATTTGTACTTCAGAAGAGGCGTTTCTATTAAAATGAGATGTGATATCCATATACTCTATTTTACTTTTCATATATTTTTTTAGTTTTCGACCGTCGAATCGGATGAATTGAAGAAGATCAACGGAGAGAAATTATTAAAAGGTGTGTGAGAAGTAAAATGGAATGTATGGATAGCACACCCCCTATTAAAATTACATAGCAAACAACTTCATGTAATTCACGGGCCATAAAAAAGCATCAGATAAACAAATTAGTCTAGAAATATTTGATAGGTAATTTGAATTTAAGACATCTTGTGGAAAAATAAAAACAAATTATTATTTCGGCTCTGGATAATTTTGAAAATAAAATAAAATAAACTGGATAATATTATTCATAATATATTTTTGTACCACATCATTTGAATTAATTAAATTTTTTAATTTAGTTCATTATTTAATAAACTAATAATTAAGAACAACTAGTTAATTAAATAATGATTGTGATGTACGAGGAGTCTTTTTTTTTTTTTTTTTTTTTGGGTTTTGCAAATTTTTCAAATGATGTGACTGTCCATATCAGATGTCTCTAAGATGGTATAAAAAAATAGTATAAAAATATGGTATAAAAAATATTACTCAAATTAACCATGCTTATTCCTCTTCATTCTTGGCCAATAACCATGCGTGTTGGACTCAAAAGAATTCTTATCTATAGCAGACGATTAGGGTTACCGACACGTATGAGACATCTCTGTATTTGGAAAAAAATTAAATAAATAAAAAATAATAATAAGAAAATAAAAGAAAAGAAAAAGAAAAAGAAAAACGAAGGAATGGGAGAAGCTTCTGGAAAAGACGTTAGAAGAAGAACCTACCACTCACACCCTCTCACAGCCTCCCTACTTCTTCTCGCTCCTTCCTTCCTATCCGCTCTTAATCACTTTCCCTCCCTTTCTCTCTCTTCTCCGTGGGCCCCACAGTTCTTTTTCCCATAAAACAATAAAAAGAGTTATTGTTTATTATTTTCCTTCCCTTTCCTTCTCGAACCCGCGAATACACCCTTTTCCCGTCTTCCTCCTACCATTTACTCCACCTCCGGAACCTTCTAGAAACAACAAAAGCGAAATCCTCTCCTTCTCTCCCCCACCCCCCTCCCCTCGCCTTCTCCTCCCTCCCTCTCCCTCTCCCTCTCCCTCTTTCTGAGCTGCTGCTTCCGGTACTGCCTGCTGCAACAAGATCGATCGAGTTGGCTGTCGTGTCCAATCCAACTTTTCTGTTTGGTTGGTGGGAAAATCCCTACTCTCTGTTCATCCCAAACCTTTAAATCCACGCTTTCAAGGTAATACACGCCGGCTCCTTGATTTAATTCCATTTTTTTTATTGAATTTTCCATTTCCAATACCTAGAAATCTAATTACACAAAAAATAATAGCAAGTAAAATTTCGTATCTCCAGAAATTTTTGTTTTCTAATCCTCCGCGGTTTCTCGGCAACCAAACGGAGCGTTAAATCATTTTAATTAAATAAAATAACGTTATTTATTTATTTATTTGTTTGTTGAACGGATTTTTGATTATCAGTTGCTATTAGAGCTCAGATCTGAGAAGCCGAAGGCCAACAAACCATGTCCTCGTTGCCGGCCGAGCAGAACGGCGACTCGGCGCCTGCTGGAAGCGGTGGCGGCGGAGGAGATTCGCAGAGATCGCTTCCGACGCCGTTTTTGACCAAAACGTATCAGCTGGTTGACGATCCATCCGTCGATGATTTAATATCGTGGAGCGAGGATGGATCGGCGTTCATCGTCTGGCGACCTGCCGAATTCGCCAGAGATTTGCTTCCCAAGTACTTCAAACACAACAATTTCTCCAGCTTCGTTCGCCAGCTCAACACTTACGTAAGCCTCCCTCACTTTCCCTCCTTTTCTTGTCAGCCAAACAGGGATTCTTTTCTCGGCAACCGAACAGGATTGAGTCACTTCAGATTTACGGTTTCCTAATCTATTTTGCGATTGGATTTTGTAGGGATTCCGGAAAGTCGTGCCGGATCGATGGGAGTTCGCGAACGATTTCTTCAAGAAAGGCGAGAAAGGACTTCTCCGGGAGATTCAGCGCCGGAAAATCTCTCCATCCGTGTCGGCGGCAGCTACGGTTGTTCCGCCAGCGATGGCGGCGATATCCGCGTTGGCTCCCCGGGTGTCTCCGTCTAACTCCGGCGACGAGCAAGTGATCTCGTCCAATTCGTCTCCGGTGGCGGCTCCGGCAATGTTGGCTTGCCGAATCAGGAGCTCCACCTCCACGTCGGACGTTCTTGAAGAAAACGAGAGGTTGAGGAAAGAGAACATGCAGCTGAGTCACGAGTTGACTCAGCTCCGCGGGTTATGTAATAACATATTGGCGTTGATGACGAACTACGCGTCTGGTCAGTTAGACAGCGGTGGCGGTGGCGGAGGAGGAGGAGGAGGAGGAGGAGGAGGAGTGGATGACGGTAGGACTCTAGAGCTGTCGCCGGTGAAAGAGGCTGAGCCGGCTGCAGAAGACGCCGGTTGCAACGGAGCAAACGCGGAGGCTTCCGGGGCGGAAGAGGAGGAGGAGGAGGAAGAAGAGGAGGAGATGAGGCCGAGGTTGTTCGGGGTTTCGATCGGGGTGAAGCGCGTGAGGAGAGACGAAGACGAAGAGGAACAACATCGGGAAGGCTCCGAGGGGGCGAAGCAAGAGCCGTCGGATGGGAGCTTGAAGCGCGATTGTGACGCCACGTGGCTGGAGCTCGGAAAGTGATTGAAAATGATCAGATGACGTAGGCGATTGTTGTTTATGGAAGCCGATAATGGAAGCGTGGACAGCAACGCACGGGGAGGAATGTGCGCACGTGCGAGATAATAACTGGGATGGCGCCACGTGGATGGAAAAGATAAGAACCGAAACCCGGGACGGTGTCCTATGGGCGCGAATGAGATAGTACCATATGAAGCGCGCCAGAGGACGGAAAGAAGACGGTCCCAAATGCTGAGGTTTTTATAGGTGGTGCCCCGTACATATTTATTTTTTTAACTTTTTGTACTCTTTTTCCAATTTACTACCGTTGTATGAAATGAATTGAAAATGATTGAGAAACAAAAATTAACAGGAGTGCTTTTGAGGTAAAAAGAATGTGTGGATAAAGTCGCTCTTCTTTGTTTAGCTTAGTATTAGTTAATTAGTATGTTTACAATTATATGATTAAATGCAGAAGCGTTCTTGTGTTAGTTTTGACTGGTGTGGTAAATGGCAACGTATGCTTAACTAGTGAGAATTTATGTAGCGTTTGAGGAAAATATGCTTAACTAGTGAGAATTTATGTAGCGTTTGAGGAAAATGAAGAAAAAAGTGGTTGAAGATTTGCGTCATTTGATTTGCTTTGCTTGCAATTTGTAGTCAAAGATATTTACCAAACAAAAATGCCTAGAGCACGTGGATAAGGAGGGGGAAGGAATTGACTCCTTCAACGTATAAGAAATCTGAGCTTTTATACGTTCATTTGAAATGCCTCCTGTAACTCAATTTTAATATTGTTTATTTTTCTCCTCAAACGAAAATGTCGTCATTTGCAGTGTGGAATTCAATTTTATTTTTTTTATTTTTTTTATTTTTTTCCAATTGTGGAATTCAGGATTCGTGATGCTTTAGCAAGATTTCGACAATTTCATCATGGATGTGATATCCACACTTCATTTTACTTCTCACACACTTTTCTAATTTTTGGCCGTCGGATCAGATGAAAGGAAGAAGATCAACGGATAGAAATTAACAAGGGTGTGTGAGAAGGCAAAAGTTGCAGGAGCGCCTCTAGCAATGGGGATGAGGTCTTGAAGGCAAATGTTGCTGCCAAGGTTTTTAAAAACGCTAAGCGTTAGTCTGGCGGCGGACTAGGGTCTAGCACCTAGACGGGTGCCTAGGCGGATTTAAGGTTCAAAAAGTTTACTAAATGGGCTCTAAAATATATAGGCTTTCATTCTTGTTCCCTAGGCAATAAGGATAGAGTTAACAACAACTAATCGGTTGAGATCCAACTCCAGTTATCAGCATTTAAGGCATTCATTGATTTTGCTGGTAACCAGCTTTTCGGGAAGGGGTGAGCTAGTGCAAAGAGCTATTGGCTGTTCTAGTTTTTTCATAGTGAAAAACATGAGGAAGTTCATAACTTTTCACTCATTAGGGGTATATTACTACTTTCATATCAAATTTTGGTTATAATTATCATACACTTAAAATGGTGGCTATAATTTCATATGGGGTTCATTTTTTAGTTTCCAAATTTCTCCAAAATTATTTGTGGTCATTTGGGGAAAAAATTGGGGTTCTTGGGAGTGAATTTCTGGTGGAAAAATCGAGGGATCGAGTATTTAGTGTGTAGGAATTGGTCAGTGGGGCTTTACGAACTGGGCCAAAAGCAATAAAATCTTCTATGAAAGTTAGCCGTTTGGCGATAGAGATAATAAGATGTCGAGGAAGAACGGACAAGTTAGCCATCAAGTCGTCTGTGACTCAATCGAGCACGATTATTCTAATAAAAACGAAATTCAAAGAATAAAAACACGAATAAATTATTAGAAATGGACTTTGATAGGGCAAGGCCATATGTATGGAATTCGAAAACTATGACCCTCCACGTTTTCATATTTCATGTAGAAAATGATTATTTTTCTTCATTATCGACCTAGCATTACCTTTTTATGAAGTATATGTAATTAGGCTTGAATTTCGGAGTGGTTTGATGCCTCAACAAGGAGGGTTATCCAACATATTTTTATACATAGGTTACAAGTTTGTCTTACAAGTTCATGCCTATCCAATCTTATCCCTAAGCTCAATCCTATTCAGCCGACCAAACGGGCGAGGCCTATAGCTCGGAATTCGACCAATTCTCATCACTAAATGGCACCTCAAAAACTCTAATCCAACAAGTTGTTGCGCCAAAAAATCATTTACGTTGTTAATATTGCAGAACCACCAGTAAGGCCCCTGCTGATTCCACTAGATAAAAGAACGTAAATATAGTCTGATCGTCGACAACTTGTGCGTAATTTGTCTGGCATCTTTGGATCCAAAACAAGAAGGGCTTCCAAAACCACAAGATACAACAACTGCGTAATTCGGTGTTCAAGAAGGGCTTGATAGTAAGGCGCAGTTGAACATCATGGAGCTTATCAAGTATTTTCGCAATATCAGGCAACTCAATTAGTGTCTTCTTAAACGGATGCAACATCCACAAGAAGAATGAGAAGACTTCCATTGCGCTTCTGGCAGATTAATCTTGCACATCTTATCATTTCCGGTCGAATCACTTGTCTTCTAGTAATAAATTCTTTCATGGTGGTCAATCTCCACGACTTACCACACCAAAACCAATAACACCTTCCGTGGAAACTATCCATCGGTGATCGACCCTATGAGATCTTGGAGAAGATTCGACCAGTTATTCATGATGCATCAGAGATCTACTTAAAGGTGTCGAAAACTTAACTAAAAGTTAAGGTACAACTGTACAAGGAACGGTGCAGCAGCAGAGAGTGCAGATAGCAACACTACCAATAGTCTAGTAGTAGCCATCTGACTCAGCAGCTTTGTATCTCTGTTGATATCCATGATTCACAAAACAGCACCAAAAGTGAAGAATTTATTCTCCAAAGGTTTGAAAATAACACAACGAAATTCTCTTGATCTGATCCGTCGGCCATGATCCAACGCTCAATAACTCAGTGTGTGACTTGTTCTTGATCAAATATGTTTATGTTTTGTAATGTTGCATTGAAAACATGAAATTACTGTTGAGAAAAAGGCTATAGACCTACAACTATAATTAGCACTGACTTGGACTCCTTAGGTTATCGGACCTATATCTTCTATGAATTGGGGCAAGGGGTGTGCTATGTCCCTACACTCCTTTTTATTTCTCACATACCTCTTGTTAATTTATGTCCCTTGATCTTCTTTAATTCATCCGATTCAACAGCCGAAAATTAAAAGAGTGTGTGAGAAGTAAAAAGGGGTGTGTCAATATCACACCCCTTGGGGCAATATTTACATGTAATAAAAGGCCACCTTTTAGTCATCGTCCTAATGAGTTCCGGTCAAATCTATATTATGACATGTTTACTTACATGTGTTGGGGCCCAAAAATGTCGCACACCAATTTAACCAAATCTCAAGGCTCAATTGTCATGCAAAGCCTACATCTAAGCCCAAATACATGCTAAGGCACGGGAATGAGGAATATATTTACAAACATGCTATGCCACGGTGATTAAGTTGGATATTCATGCCATGCTCATGCCTATTCATCACGCCATGCTTCCTCATGCTAATCACTGCCATGCTAAGCCCAAGTCACAAATTTGGGGCTTGTTAAGTGGATTGTAGTATGGATGATTACGGAAGGTTATTGGGCATACGTGGAATCGGGGTCATGGAAGACTTTGGGCTGCTTGGGTGCCCAAAGATCCAAGCACATACCCTTTGTATTTCATGCATGCATTATTAAGAGAGAATTAGACTGGTTTACCCTTTTTCCTAGCAAGCCAACTCCTTTAGTTAGGATTAAATTAGATTCTTGCATTAAATGCATGTTAAGCTTAGCATGTTAGGCATTTAATGTTGATTTTCCATTCCCAGCCTACACAGATAACCAACGCGCGAAAGCCATGAGGTGCGCTACCAGAAGTAGCGCTTGTGGAAGGCCGTCCTGGGAAAGCCGCGTCTCAGAAAGAAGCAAACTGCAGGCCTCAACAGTGCTTCTATCTTACACCAAAAGGGGAATAATAGGAGGGCTAGGGAAAGGAGGGGAAGACCAAGCCACAAACAGAGATTCCTTTGAAGCCTAGAGAAGAACCCTTCATCTAGAAAATGAGAGAGAGAAGCCATTAGAGAGGATGAACATGCAGAGTAACACAGGGAGAGAGTAACGTAGTGAGAGAGAACCACCCAGGAAGAATCCCAGAGAGTTACGTTTAGCCCAGAAGCACACTCCAAGCCTCAGGAATCACCATTCATATAACCTTAGTAATTCCCACAACTATCCATCAAACATCTCAACCATTAGAAACCTTACTATCACCCTGGAAAAGCTTAAATCATGCAACTAAGAATGCCATGCAACCATGCAAATCTCTTCTCTCTCATGTTAAACCAATAATCTTCTAGCTTCCACACCATGCTTCACTTGAGCAAGTCATTATCTTGATCATTCATGCTATCTTCGAGCCCTTGATGTTACCGGGGTATTTCCTAAGACAAGAAACTCTTTCGAGATATCCTTGAGACTTGTTACAAATCCGTACCAAGAGGACTTTCTCAAAATCCAAGACTTAAAAGTCTCTCAACAGCATGCAATAAATATTTTACACCCGGAACATCTAAATCCTGGTTGCAATTGCTTACTGAACTCCTCTATCCTCGGATCGTGGTATCAAATGGCTAAACCTGGATGAAATTGCTTACTTAAAGCTGGATGCAATAACATCCCGATGCATAGGTTGATCAACATACAATTCTGATCCCATCACCAAAATTAATTAATAAATTAAAACCTTATTTTAAATCCAATAAAGCTTTAGCTAATCCGATTGATTACTTATATCACACTTCATATAAGGGACTACGTAGCACCATAGGATGTACAATTACACCGTGAACCCTAGCACCACCAGGCCTTTTCACCACCTGAATAACCTTGATTTACAACTAAAAAAAACCTAATAGCACCATGAAATTCCTCGCTGGCTTGCTTCCTCGAAAACTACATTGTAGTCCAACCCATCTGGAGTTATGTAGAGACCTCCTTAGACGTCAAGTCAGTGGCGGAATCAGGATTCTGGGTTAGGAGGGTTCTCACAAGTAACTAAACTTCAATGGTTTTTTGTTGAAAAAATAGTATTAAGGCTCGTTTGAAAGTGCTTTTAAAATGACTGAAAGCGCTTTTGATGATGATATTTTTGGGGCTAATTCTTAGTAAAAATGTAAGTGAAACTTGGAAAAGCACTTGAAGTGTTTCCTATAAGAAGCACATAACTGGTGCTCCTTGCATGAAGCACTTCAAGTGCTTTTGGAACCCAAAAACATTTTTTTTCTAAAAGTGTTTTCAGTCATCTTTAAAGCACTTCCAAACCTGCAAAAAAAAAAAAAAAGATATTACTTTTTTAATTAATTTACAAATGAAGATGACAACATATATGAAATTGGCAAGTTGTAAAAAGTTGAGAAACAGAGCCCTA